CCACCTCCTGGGTTCAGGCAATTCTCCTGCCTTAGCCTCCTGAGTAGCTGGGATTACAGGCACGTGCCACCATGCCCAGCTTTTTTTTGTATTTTTAGTAGAGACGGGATTTCACCATGTTGACCAGGATGGTCTCAATCTCTTGACCTCGTGATCCACCCGCCTCGGCCTCCCAAAGAGCTTTGATTCTTGAAGGATAGCTTGGCTGGATGTAACATAGCCAGTGGGATGTAACATGGCCAACACACTTTTTTCCCTCTTGAATTTCTCAAGAAAAACTAAAGGCATTGTCTTGCTATATATCATGTAGTTGGGTATCAACTTGTCTTACTATGTTACTGACTTAGAGTATTCTTTTTCCTTTATCTTTAATGAGGAGTAATTTAATTAGGATGTATCTCAGAGTTAATTATGGGTAGTTTATTTCCCTGTGATGGACCCTTTCTGCATGTGGTTGACTTCAGTTCCAGGATTGTTCTTGCATTACGATTGTAATAATCTGTTTCCTTGTGTTTTCTTTTGAAATCTCAGTTAGTTGGATTGTGTGCCTCTTCTTTCTATAACTTTGTCTGGAATTTTTCTACTACTTTCATTTTCTTTCTCTTGGCCCTTTTCATCATTAACTTCTGTGTCTCTTATTACAAGGTATATGAGTACCTCATAATTTAGTATTCATTTCTGAGATGACTTTTTAATTTTAATTTTATTATTTTATTTTTATTTTAAATAAATTGATTTTTTTCCTAAAATCAGGTAACAGTCATTTCATATCTCCCTGTTGTTTGTCCATTTTTGTTCTGGAATTTTTTGCTCATTTCTTTAGATTTGATTCGTTTTGGAGTGTTATGTTATAGTCTTCTCTACTTCATGGTTTTTGGTGAGATATATTTACATTTTTAAAAAATTTTTGATTATTTCTGTTTTTTATAGTTGCTTTGTATGGATGTTGGATTCTCTTTTTATGTCATTCTTGATAATTTTCCTGGATCAACAGTAATAGACAACACTGGATGGACTGAAGATTTTATATGGCTTTAAGCCTTCTTGAATGGCACTGTATTGTTTAGCATAGTGAGGTGGAGTTTCTTTCTTTTTTAAATTTTATTAGAGATAGGGTCTCGCTCTGTTGTGCAGGCTGGAGTACAGTGGCTCACTCCAGTTTTAGCTTACTGCAGCCTTCTAACTCCTGAAGTTAAGTGATTCTCCCACCTCAGACTCTCAAGTAGCTGAGAATATAGACATCATATATGATCTTGTTTTTGTAGATCCCTGAACTTCAGTCTCGTTTCCTAGTGTTTCTTTATCACCAAGCCACCAGTGGACACCTCCCTTTCCAAAGTGAAGCTCTTTCCTAGTGTGTAGGTCCTTTTAAAAAAATTCCTCTTACTGTTATTGTTTTAGTTGGAATTCAGTAGGGAGTGAAATTAAGTATCGATGTTCAAAATGTCATCCTGACATGGAATCCATGTTACTTTTGTTCAATGTGTAATTATTTAATTTAAATTACAGTTTTATTTTATGGTAAATGTAGTCTTTATAGGTAGGACTTAACTGAATAGACCACTTGAAGTATTGTAGTTTTCTTTTGAACGACAAAATATTAAGGTATTTGTTTTGATTACATGTGTTTAGAACTTATTAGCCAATTAAGAAACTTGACAAATCATTTTTTTAAGGCAGTAATTCATTTTATGTAGAGATGTTGCAGGGACTTTTCTTATTCTGTAGATATTGAAAGCATTTATCTGGTATAATAGGACATCTTGCTGTCCATTTATTGCTTATATATTGGGTGGTCTAGAGTGCCACATTTTTTATCAAATGTTTCTTTGCTTATAATAGATCTCCATATTGGCTTTGGTACTCTAGAGACTTCTAGAGTGATTTATCAGAAATGTATTTATTTAAGGAATGAGGGACAAATAACATGTTAAATTTTAATATAGTTTCTTTGGCTTTTTGTTTGGTCTGGGTAGGAAATCTCTTTACTCTGAACTTGTACTTTCTTCTTGATGAGGGCCATTCAGATTTGTAAGTAAAGTTACGTAGTAAATGGAGTTCTTCATATGTTCAGGATGTGAGTTTTATTCAAAATTCTGTAAAGTCAATTCTTATGACAACTAAGAAGTTAGCAGCTTAGTTTGTTTCAGTCTGTTCTTGATTTCATGTTGTTTTTAACAGCCTTCAATAATGTTTTCTCCCTGTGTTTTCACATTTCCTATCTTTTTCACATGTATTTTCTTCAGAGTCACTTTTTGCCACTTGTAATCCATAAGCATGATTAAGAGGCATAAAGTGTGAGGATTAAAACGATGATCATTAAGACATAGAGGGCAGGAAGAAGGTCCAGTAGCTTATTCTATGCATACTGTGATGTTTTAAAACTTACTGCTTTATTTGAATTTGACATCATGTGACTTGACTTATAGATCTGCTATTGCTATCATAGTTTATTGAACCACACCAGCAACATTTATAGAATATTCCAGAATTTTCAAGACATGAATTGCTTGTATGAAGATGTAAGGTGAATAATGAGCACAATTCTTTTGGAAAATGCCAGGCATATGTTTTCTATAGTAGAGTCTTTGTGTTAGGGAAAACTGTGAGATGGGTTTGGAGACAACTGAGTTTCTTAATTAATTGGTAAGTCGGGAGAAGTAGAAGTTTGGGAAATAAGGTGCTAGGGAGGGTTGAGTAGGTAGTCCTTGATAGAAGACCTCACTGCTAATTGCAGTATCCTGTTTTTCTATAACAGTGATAAAAATGTGATCAGAGTCTTCTTCCTCTGGGACAGTGCCAATTTAGCCCTGTTGTCTTCATGTTATAATACCTCCTTCAAGACCTACATATGTTCCCCAAATATTTCCTTTTTGTCATCCAAAGTCTTGAAGGCTTGGATGATCGTGATATGATCTTCCTGTTAATAGCAAACCTCTGAAGATCTGTTTTTGGCTGCTGAGGGTTATCTGTGAAGACATAGATTTTAGTCCTTCAGATTATTATTATTCACCTTCCTATATAAAAGATATGCATTGAACCTTGAGTGATTCTTATGCCAGCCTTGAGATTTCCACTGAGCAAACTCAGTTATCTCTAAACCCGTCTCACAGTTTTCCCTAACACAAAGACTCTGCTATAGAAAACATATGCCTGGCATTTTCCAAAAGAATTGTGCTCATTATTCACCCTACATCTTCATACAATCAATTCATGTCTTGAAAATATATGTCAAGTCACATAAGATCTATAAGTGAAGTCACATTCTGTCAAAATCAGAATGCTGCTTTTCATTAGCTATGGTACAAGGGAAACATATTTCATATGCTTCTTATTCAGATTTTATAAATTCACTCAAATTAGTACCTCCCTCAGTTACTTCTTTCCTAGTGCCTGCCTCCTTTTCCCAAATCACTTGTGTTATTTCACAACTCAGTCAGGTAGTATTATTTCATCCTCATGGTAAGGTAAATATTACTGTCATTTTATAGATAAGAAAACAGATGCTTAGAGAGGAAATAGCTTGTTCAAGGGCACTATTATTTGAGTATTTCTTTATCTTTTAAATCTGAATACATATGTAACTTTGAGCATATTAGTAACAGATACATTTAGTTTTAAGGGTACAGTAAAAACATGATTTTACCAAAATCCACCTCATCTGGAACCACAAATGGTAGTATATTTTGTTCGACAGTATTTTTTTTAATAAAAAGAGGCAAATGAGTAAGAAATGAGCTTTTATTAGAGATTTAGTTTAAAAAGAAGCTCTTAGAATTTTATTAACATAAACTAACTCACTGTCATTTGTTACTCTATATTCACAGCTAACTGGCAGAATCATATTTTGGTCCTAAACAAAATGTAGACCCAAATAATGAAAATATGCTGTATGTCTATATGCATATAATGTATTTGTAGTGGCTGAGGTTATCACAAAAAAGGCTCCCTTCCATTTATATTGTTACCGCTTTTTTTAAATCAGGAAACTTTAAAATTTGACTGATTATTGCTCAAAGATTTTAGTAATCTGTTAAAATTTCCACATGTTTATACATAATAGAAAATTTAATCAGAAAGGAATCAGGTAACATCTGTGGGGACAGTATGTTGTGATGATAAAATTTTGATGTAGAAAGATACTTGTGTCAAAATTAAGCAATAGTCAAATAAACTTATAGATCAAATGGCAGAGATTTCGTATTTGTAAATTAGGACAATAAAATAATTAAACCTATGTTAACATTAGTAGCAATAAATATTGTAACTTCAGGTTGATGTAGTAACTCATGCCTATAATCCCAGAATTTTGGAAGGCTGACAGGAGGATCACTTGAAGCTAGGAGTTTAAGACCAGGCTGGTTAAAATAGTGTAAAATAGTGAGACACCACTTATACACACACAAGTGTAAAATAATGAGACCCCACTTACACACACACACACACGTTGAGCATGGTGGCACGCATCTGTAGTAGCTTGCTACTTTGGAGGCTGATGTGGGAGGAGCGCTTGAGTCAAGGAATTTGAGATTACAGTGAGATATGATCACCCAAATGTATTCCAGCCTGGGTGACAGAGTTAGACTCTGTCTCTAATAAATAAAGGAACAAAGGAATGTAGGAAGGAGAGGAAAGAAGAAAAGAAAAAGGAGAAGAAAGGAGGAAGCAAGAAAAGGAAGAAATTTCTCAAAATCACATTTAAAAATTTGTAGGTTTATGATCTAGTATTTTTCTGTATTCATTAAGTGAGCTCGTTAGAGAGACGAAGACAAATATTATTGCTGCTGAAAGCCATATAATTCTCCTCAAGACTTACGTATATCCTGATATGGTTGGCTTTGTGTCCCTACCCAAATCCCATCTTTAATTTCCACGTGTTGTGGGAGGGACCCCATGGGAGATGATTGAATCATGGGGACAGGTCTTTTCTATACTGCTTTCATGGTAGTGAATGGGTTTCATGAGATCTGATGGTTTTAAAAACCAGAGTTTCTCTGCAGAAGCACTCTTTTTGCCTGCTGCCATCCATGTAAGATGTGACTTGCTACTCCCTGCCTTCCACCATGATTGTGAGACCCCCCCAGCCATGTGGAACTGTAAGTCCCATAAACTTCTTTTCTTTTGTAAATTTCCCAGTCTCAAGTATGTCATTATTAGCAGCATGAAAACGGACTAATACATATCATGAGTATCTAAGATAAATTCATGTGATCTCTCCATCATCTACATTTTTGGTGATTTGTATTGGTTATTTGTATTTGCTCTTTTTCTTTATAGCTGAGACATTAATTTTATTGATATTCTCAGGGTACCAAATTTTGGCATTGTTATTTTCTCTATTGTTTTCTCTTCCCTTGATTTTTCTCTTTGATGTTTCCTTCTTTACATCTACTTTGGGTTTATAGTGCTTTGCACTTCTTTTTGTAGCTTCTTAAAGTGAAACCTTAGGTAATTGATTTTATATATTTCTTCTATTCTAATATAAACATTTAAAACTATAAATTTCTTCCTAAACGTTGCTTTAGCTGCATCCCACAAATTCTCGTATGTTGTATTTTTCATTTTTATTCAGTTCAAAATATTTTTAAATTTCCTTTGTGATTTCTTAGTTGACTGATGGATTATTTAAAAGTATGTTATTTAGTTTCCATATATCTGAATTTTTTTATATGTCTTATTGTTAAATTCTAATTTAATTCTGTTTTGTTCAGATAAGCATGTTCTGCATGATTTCTACCTAGGAATTGACCTTTTGATCATCATGAAGTATCCATTTTTTATTTTGGATGATACTCTTAGTTTCCGAAGTCTATTTTATGTGATATTAATATATTAACTTTAGCTTTTTTGTGCTTGCTATTTGCATGATGTATACATTTTTAGCCATTTACTTTTAACCTGTTTGCTTATTTAAACTACATATTTTGTAGATAGCATACAGTTGTTGTTTTAGATGGCATTATATGATTGCTTTTTATTCATTTGACAAACTCTACCTTTTTATTGTATTTTATTAATACCTAATGTACTTATTGGTATAATTAGATTTGTCTATCATTTTATTATTATTTTATGTATATCCCTCTTTTTTTCTTTTTACTTCCTTTCCAACTTCCTTTTGGATTAATGAGTATTTTTTAATAATTCCTTTTAAATTAATCTATTTTCTTTTTAGCTATACTTATTTTCTTCTTTTTTTTAGTAGTTGCTCTAAGGATTACAATGTATGCTCTTAACATTTCAGTGTACTTAGAGTTATTATTTCACCATTTAATGTGGAATATAGAAACCTTTTAATTGTATAGGTTCTTTTACCTGCCCCATGTTTTATTCTGTAGAGGTTATTTATATTATGTATACCTTTATTGTAAACCCTATAGTAAAATACTATTATTTTTACTTTTAAGCACTTATATGTATTTTAAATAAATTAAGGGAAATAAACAGTTTTTGATACTTACCCATATATTAACTTTCTAGTAGTCTTTATTCCTTCCTAAAGATTCATGTTTTCTTCATCTGTTATCATTTCTTCTCTGCCTGAAGAACTTTCTTTAGTATTTATTGTAAAGCAAGTCTTCTGTTGATATTTGTTTACTTTTTCTTTGTCTCAAAAATATCCTTATTTTATTTTTATTTTTGAGGGATATTTTTGATGGATATAAAATTCTAGGTTGACCTTTTGTGTTCTTTCACCATGTTAAGAATTTCATTCCACTGTCTTGTGATTTCCATGGTTTTTGATAAGAAGTCAGTGACAATAATTTGTATCATTGTTTACCTGTATGTAATGTGTTGTTTTTCCTCTGAATACTTTCAAGATTTCTCTTCACCTGTAGTTTTAATCAGTTTTACTATAGTGTTTCTAATCATGACCTTCTTAATATTTATCTTACTTGGAGTTTGTTCAACTTTTATAGAATCTGTAAATTTGTCTTTTACTAAATGTGGAAAACTTTACTCACCACTGAAAAAATGTTTTCTACGTCATCCTCTGTTTTCTCTATTTCTGGGTTTAAATAAACACGTTAGGCATTTGAATCTTGTCATTCAGATCCCTAAAGGTCTTTCTTTTCTTATTAACAATCTTTTTTCCTCTTAGTTCTTCATATTGTATAATTTTGATTGATTTATTTGCATGTATACAGATTTTTTCCTCTGTTATTAACAGTCTGCTTTTAATCTCATCCAGCATAATTTTAATTTCAGAAATTGTATTTTTCAGTTACAGAATTTTTTCTGGTATTTCTATTGAGATTGCTTAACTTTATATTCAGTAAGCCTCGTTACACTTACTGCTTTAAAATCCTTATCTGCTAATTGTAACATCTAGTTTAATCTCAGGGTTGCTCTCCATATACTGTCTTTTCTCTTAAGAATAGAACACATTTTTTGTGTTTCTTCATATATCTAGGAATTTTGGATTTTTATCCTAGACAAGGTAAATATCATATTATGAATACTCTGTTGTTTTCCTCTGAAAAACATAGTTTTGTATGTTTATTTATTTGTTTAGTAAGGAAATCACTTGGTTAGGATTAAAATTGCAAGAATTCTGTTTTTGTGTTTGTTTGTTTTTTGTTTCTTTTGAGACAGAGCCTTTCTCTGTTGCCCAGGCTGGAGTACCGTGGTACAATCTCAGCTCCCTGCAGCCTCTGCTTTCCAGGATCAAGTGATTCTCCTGCTTCAGCTTCCTGAGTAGCTGAGATTGCAGGCATGTGCCATGGTGCCCAGCTGATTTTTGTATTTTTAGTACAGACAGGGTTTCACCATGTTGGCCAGGCTGGTCTTGAACTCCTGACCTCAAGTGATATGCCCGTTTTGGCCTCCCAGAATGCTGGGATTACAGGCTTGAGCCACCACGCCCAGCAAGAAGATAAAATATATTTAATATTCACTAAGTGGAAGTGGATTGTCATGAAGGTTATCATCCTCATTATCTTCACGTTGAGTAGGCTCAGGAGAAAAAGGCAGAGGAGGGGTTTGCCTTGCTGTCTCAGTGGTGACAGATGGAAGAAAATCCACTTATAAGTGGATCCATGAGGTTGTTGACCCATGTTGTTCCAGGGTCAACCTTAGTTGTTTTAAAAAATTATCTGTAGGATTGTCAGTCTGGTAGAGGGTTTTTTATTTTTTTTTGTCAATATTGTTACCAGAACCTGACTGTAATGCATTTAATACAAAGAATAACTGGATTAGAGTGGATCAGTATTTGTATTGGAACAATTCAAAATAAGAAATAGACATGGAAGCAAAGATTGTAAAGGTAAGGAACATCCTATCCTTGTAACTTAGATTAGATACATTATTAGAGGATGTGAATAATTAAGACTTGATTTGAACTTTTAAGGCTAACACTTTTAACTGCGTCATAGTTTTGTGTAAAGTTAGCAATATATATTTCCCTCATTATTTTAAATGAGAGCATTTACTCATAAAGAATCATTCAGGTGCTTGCTTCACACGGTTACTTTCTTAGTTCATAACTAAGTAATATTTTTCAGGTAATTTAAAAGAGTATTTACATTTCAAAATACAAATTATACACTAAATTTATTTAACAAAATCTGTTTACTGTAGGTCCAGGTCAAGACCGCGTCCACGTTCTCATAGTCGTAGCAGTGAAAGGTCCAGTCATAGAAGAACGCGTAGTCGGTCTCGGGATAGAGAACGACGTAAAGGCAGAGATAAAGAGAAGAGAGAAAAGGAGAAGGATAAAGGGAAGGACAAGGAATTACATAACGTTAAACGTGGGTAAGTTGAAGCAAATCTTATGTGGAGAGGACTTGGTGATTCCATGGTGATGTTCAAACTAAATTTTTGTTCTCTGAGTTTTTCTTGTAGCTCAATTGCTATAAGAGTAGAAGAAAATGGAATAAAAAGAGAGAATACAGTAGAGAAAGAAGAAAGGATAAATATAAATAAATATATTTGTCTCAGATTTTTACTGTGGTACATTTTCATTTTTATTTTATTTTTCGTTAATGATATAACAAATCTTGGAATCAATATAAACAGCATTATCAAAGTTTAGTATGTAAGTAGAGGAAAATTTGCATAATTCTGTAGGAAAGTTTTATATTTTGTCTCCTTTGTTATGAATATGAACTTAAAATTTGAAGACTACTTAGTGATTAAAAATGTCTATTACGTTTTTGTAAAGCTGTTACGGGAAAAGTGTAAAGTTGAAACAGAAGGAGGAGACCATGTGATTTACTGTTGTTTAAGCCTTTTTAATATAGAATGAAAGCTTGGGCAATATTAGAGTGTATATGTATGTAAGAGTGGGTGTATCTGCTTATGAGGTTCTGATTTTATTTTTTCTAGAATTGATATTATTAAAACAATGAGATTCTACTTCTGTCCACTTAGAATCAGAACTTGAAATCCACTCATAAGTGTTTGTCAAATTGGAAGATGTTAAAATGAAACAATCTTTTTTAACAGAGTAAATTTACAGCGTCTTATTTTATTGACAATTGTAATTGGAATCTTTTATTCTGGGAAGGAGAACATCTTGGAATTTATCCTCTTTTGTCAGTCTTTCAATGTTTTTGTGTGAATGTATTTATTTTAATACTTTAATATAAACGTGTTTGTCTTTAATGTATGAGTTTTCCATGTTGAAGAGTTTCCTAGGATTGTGGATGTAGTATCTTGAGATCTTAATTCTATAAAGACTTAAGTTTATTGAAAGATACAGAATTCTTTTCTCATTCCTTTCTATTTCACAGTTGTTTTGTATGTTTATTTTCTATTTTCAAACTTATAGTGATGTTATATAAACTTGCCTAGATTGTTGGCTTTTACCTATTATTTAAATGTTAACTTTGTGGTGGAGTTTGAAAGAGGATAACATTATTATTATGTGAGTTTTGTTCTCCGGATTATCCCACAACCATTAATGTTCATTGATCAGTTATGTTCCTGTAAAATTCTGAGTTCTATCCTTTTCTAGTTTTAAGGACTGTGAAATGTTACAATAGAGGAGTTAGAAGTTAGATACATATCTATAGGGGTGAGGAGGCTAGTTATCCACCACTGGTAAAATGGAATCAACGCAAAAAGGGTATGGGTGAAATCTCTTGGTAAAGAAAGAAAGTCAGCAGGATGATAAATTTGAAGGGAAGATTTAAATACAGTAGGGTTCTGAGTCCAGAAAATATGTTTTATGAATAAAACTAGTCAATCGGGGACTGCCTAGCTTCTTGTTCCTTTTAAAATGTTTTCTTCTTCTTCTTCTTTTTTTTTTAAATTATGTGGCTATGGAAGTAAGCTATAATCTTTTTTTTTTTTATTGCATTTTAGGTTTTGGGGTACATGTGCAGAGCATGCAATACAGTTGCATAGGTACACACATGGCAGTGTGTTTTGTTTGCTTTCTCCCCTTCACCCACATTTGGCATTTCTCCCCAGGCTATCCCTCCCCACCGCCGCCTCCCACTGGCCCTCCCGTTTTCCCCCCAATAGACCCCAGTGTTTAGTACTCCACTCTCTGTGTCCATGTGTTCTCATTTTTCATCACCCGCCTATGAGTGAGAATATGCGATGTTTCATTTTCTGTTCTTGTGTCAGTTTGCTGAAAATGATGTTCTCCAGATTCATCCATGTCCCTACAAACGACACGAACTCATCATTTCTGATTGCTGCATAATATTCCATGGTGTATATGTGCCACATTTTCCCAATCCAGTCTATCATCAATGGGCATTTGGGTTGATTCCAGGTCTTTGCTATTGTAAACAGTGCTGCAATGAACATTCGTGTGCATGTGTCCTTATAGTAGAATGATTTATAGTCCTTCGGATATATACCTAGTAATGGGATTGCTGGGTCAAATGGAATTTCTACTTCTAAGGCCTTGAGGAATCGCCACACTGTCTTCCACAATGGTTGGACTAATTTACACTCCCACCAACAGTGTAAAAGTGTTCCTTTTTCTCCACATCCTCTCCAGCATCTGTTGTCTCCAGATTTTTTAATGATCTCCATTCTAACTGGCGTGAGATGGTATCTCAATGTGGTTCTGATTTGCATCTCTCTGATGACCAGTGACAATGAGCATTTTTTCATATGACTGTTGGCCTCATATATGTCTTCTTTCATAAAGTGTCTGTTCATATCCTTTGCCCAATTTTGAATGGGCTTGTTTGTTTTTTTCCTGTAAATCTGTTTGAGTTCTTTGTAAATTCTGGATATCAGCCCTTTGTCAGATGGGTAAACTGTAAAGATTTTTTTCCATTCTGTTGGTTGCCGATTCACACTAGAGACTGTTTCTTTTGCTGTGCAGAAGCTGTGGAGTTTCATTAGGTCCCATTTGTCTATTTTGGCTTTTGTTGCCAATGCTTTTGGTGTTTTGTTCATGAAGTCCTTGCCTACTCCTATGTCCTGGATGGTTTTGCCTAGATTTCCTTCTAGGGTTTTTATGGTGCCAGGTCTTATGTTTAAGTCTTTAATCCATCTGGAGTTAATTTTGGTGTAAGGTGTCAGGAAGGGGTCCAGTTTCTGCTTTCGGCACATGGCAAGCCGGTTTTCCCAGCACCATTTGTTGAACAGGGAATCCTTTCCCCATTGCTTGTTTTTGTCGGGTTTATCAAAGATTGTATGGTTGTAGCTATGTTGTGTTGCCTCTGATGCCTCTGTTCTGTTCCATTGGTCTTTATCTCTGTTTTGGTACCAGTACCATGCTGTTTTGATTACTGTAGCCTTGTAGTATAGTTTGAAATTTGGTAGTGTGATGCCCCCCGCTGTGTTCTTTTTGCTTAGAATTGACTTGGCTATGCGGGCTCTCTTTTGGTTCCATATGAAGTTCATGGTGGTTTTTTCCAGTTCTGTGAAGAAAGTCAATGGTAGCTTGATGGGTATAGCATTGATTCTGTGAATTACTTTGGGCAGTATAGTTATTTTTATGATATTAATTCTTCCTAACCATGAACATGGAATGTTTCTCCATCTGTTTATGTCTTCTCTGATTTCGTTGAGCAGTGGTTTGTAGTTTTCCCTGAAGAGGGAAAACTTGTGAGTTGTATTCTAAGGTATTTTATTCTTTTTGTAGCAATTGTGAATGGCAGTTCGTTCTTGATTTGGCTCTCTTTAAGTCTGTTATTGGTTTAGAGGAAGGCTTGTGATTTTTGCACATTGATTTTATATCCTGAGGCTCTGCTGAAGTTGCTTATCAGTTTCAGGAGTTTTTGGGCTGAGGCGATGGGGTCTTCTAGGTATACTATCAAGTCTTCTGCAAATAGAGACAATTTGGCTTCCACCTTTCCTATTTGAATACCCTTTATTTCTTTTTCTTGCCTGATTGCTGTGGCTAGAACTTCCAGTACTATATTGAATAGGAGTGGTGACAGAGGGCATCCTTGTCTATTGCCGGATTTCAAAGGGAATGCTTCCAGTTTTTGCCCATTCAGTATGATATTGGTTGTTGGTTTGTCATAAATAGCTTTTATTACTTTGAGATATGTTCCATCCATACCGAGTTTTTTGAGGGTTTTTAGCATAAAGGGCTGTTGAATTTTGTCAAAGGCCTTCTCTGCATCAGTTGAGATAATCATGTGGTTTTTGTTTTTGGTTCTGTTTATGTGGTGAATTACCTTGATAGACTTGCGTATGTTGAACCAGCCTTGCATCCCTGGTATGAATCCTACTTGATCATGATGAATAAGTTTTTTAATTTGCTGTTGCAATCGGCTTGCCAATATTTTATTGAAGATTTTTGCATCTATGTTCATCATGGATATTGGCCTGAAGTTTTCTTTTCTTGTTGGGTCTCTGCCGGGTTTTGGTATCAGGATTATATTGGTCTCGTAGAATGATTTGGGAAGGATTCCTTCTTTTTGGATTATTTGGAATAGTTTCAGACGAAATGGTACCAGCTTGTCTTTGTGTGTCTGGTAGAATTCGGCTGTGAACCCGTCTGGACCTGGGCTTTTTTTGTGTGGTAGGCTCTTAATTGCTGCCTTGACTTCTGACCTTGTTATTGGTCTATTTATAGTTTCAGCTTTCTCCTGGTTTAGGCTTGGGAGGACACAGGAGTCCAGGAATTTATCCATTTCTTCCAGGTTTACTAGTTTACGTGCATAGAGTTGTTTGTAATATTCTCTGATGATGGTTTGAATTTCTGTGGAATCTGTGGTGATTTCCCCTTTATCATTTTTTATTGCATCTATTTTGTTCTCTCTTTTCTTTTTAATCAATCTGGCTAGTGGTCTGTCTATTTTGTTGATCTTTTCAAAAAACCAGCTCTTGGATCTATTGATTTTTTGGAGGGTTTTTCGTGTCTCATTCTCCTTCAGCTGGGTTATTTCTTGTCTTCTGCTGGGTTTTGAGTTTTTTTGATCTTGCTCCTCTAGCTCTTTCAATTTTGGCAATAGGGTGTCAATTTTAGATCTCTCCATTCTTCTCATATGGGCACTTATTGCTATATACTTTCCTCTAGAGACTGCTTTAAATGTGTCACAGAGATTCTGGCATGTTGTGTCTTCGTTCTCATTGGTTTCAAAGAACTTCTTTATTTCTGCCTTCATTTAGTTGTTTATCCAGTCAACATTCAAGAGCCAGTTGTTCAGTTTCCATGAAGCTGTGCGGTTCTGGGTTGGTTTCTGAATTCTGAGTTCTAACTTGATTGTACTATGGTCTGAGAGGCTGTTATGATTTCAGTTGTTTTGCATTTGCTGCGCAGTGCTTTACTTCCAAAATTGTGGTCAATTTTAGAGTAGGTGTGATGTGGTGCTGAGAAGAATATATATTCT